ATATTGTATTCTTACAAGCTCAAGCTGCTTTTGGCCCTAATACTATTGTCCCATATTATGTTATACTCTTTCTTAAATCTGGCCCAGAATTTCAAAATTTGGCCTGCAAAAAAAATGTTTCTCACATTTTTTACATACACTTTCTAACAATATTAAGTTTTTTTTTTGGTCAATCCATAATAACACCAAAAGGTCAGAAATACCCAACATAAATTCCTCAAGATAATACCAGGTATCTTTAATATCTGTTTTTTTTTTTTAATTCTTTATTTTTGGTGTGCACAAAAGTAACAGAACGCCTTGGTGCGCCACAACAGCGACATCTGGGTACATTAGTGAACATTTGCATTACAGGTTGTGGTAATCGATTGTCAGGCACATTTTTTAGTTAGAAATAACAAATAACAAAATTGCAATAGTTTAGGTGCCCGAGTAGCGTAAACATTTGAGTGTTCAATGCACTTGTAAATTATAAAACACATTTAGTTCAGTAGTTTAAGATTGTATCACATTTAGTAGCACATATTTTGGTTTAGTGAGGAATAACAGTTTAGAAAAAAACAAGTTAGGTAGCTTAAGAGTGCTCGATCATGCATTAGGCAGCTTCTAAAGTAGTGATGACATGTATCACGACTTGCACCTTACACGCTGCGTTGTAGAGGTTGGTAAAGGCATGTCAAAGGCATCAGAAGTTGTGCACAAGTGAACCTATTTAGCAGTAATGTGGGAGTTCGGTCTCTGGAACGGTGTCGGCTACCCCCCTTAGCTTTATATTATTCGGACGATTTTTATCTTCGTGAGCGGCAAGTTGCTGTTCATGAGCTTTTTGCTGCAGGTCTCGGATCGCTTCTTGGAGGACTGCAATCTGGTTGGTGTGGCCGGTGGAAGAGGCTTCTACTGCTCCCAGCCTGTTGGTAATGCCTTTAATGTCTTCTCTGAGCAGGGCCACATCATCTGCAATTTTCTTATGATGGTCAGCCATAAGTGCTCCGATCGCCTCCATTGTGACAGGGTTGTGAGGCTTTGTGAATGGCTGCACCTGGGTTGGTGACTGGGTCGGCATGGACCCCATGGGGTCTCACCCATCATCCTCCGATGATCCGTCAGTGAAATATGAGCAGCCGCCGTGCAGGGACGCCATCTTGGCTCCTGCAGACTCGTGCGCCTGCCTCCATAACTCTCCGATATCCATGCCCTGGCGGGGCTTGTCATGTCTCGCTTTTTTCGTTTTTCTGCCCATCGTGCCTCGGGGTCTCAGGATCGTCCCCGGAGAATTTTGGCATGGGTTGGAGTGTCAGTAATAAGGTTTATTTTGCTTGTAGGTCCGGAGCTCCATGGCCCTGCGACCGTTCGCTTCAGACGCTAGGCTCTGCCCCCTTTAATATCTGTTTTAAACCACTTGTGAATGTGTTTAAGCAGAGCAGCATCATGATATTTTTGATATCGGGGATGGCTAGGCCTCCTCTGTCTATTCTTTTCTCAAGTATCTTCCTTTTTATTCTTGGTTTTTCCCCATGGTATATATACCTTAAGAAAATTCTCTGGATTTTAAGTAAAATCGATTTAGATAGATAGATAGGAATTGCTACAAACAGATAGTTCCATGTTGGAATATAACATTATAACATTAATATGTCCCATCCATGAGATTTCCAGAGATTTCCATTCCTCGAGCATTCTGGTGGTCTGTTTAAACAAGACCTCCCAATTGGCCTTACTTAAGTTCTTTATCTGAGAGGTAAGGAGTATACCCAAATAGTCAATGCTGTCCGTTTCCCATTTAAAGGTATATTCTCTTTCGAATAAGCCCTTTGCAGTTTTATTTAAATTCCAACTCATAATGATTGACTTAGATGTATTCAGTTTGTAATTTGAAATTTTTTCCATATTTACCTTTAATCCTGAAGAAGACAATCTAAGGACCTTATAGGATCTATTAATGTCAATAAAATATCATCCGAATATAGATTTATTTTTGTCTCTCTATGATCGTATTGTATTCCTTTAATATTTGCATTTATTCTAATGTATTGAAGAGAGATTCTAATGTAAGAATGTAAAGCATAAGAAAAAGAGGGCATCCCTGCCTGGTTCCATTGCGAACCATAAACCAAGAAGAGGTTGTTACAAACTGCCATTTGTAACTGTTATTTTATTTGACAAATTGCCCTGCTTCCCTGTGTTATGGAGAAGCCTAATTGCCAGCCTTCTGCCCCATGACTATGGACCTAGTGTGTATGGCGATTTGACTGTATTTGTGGGATCTGAGCGCTGTTTGGATATATTGAGCGCTCAGATCCAAGCCATCTGGGGATAGGTTGAATGTGGGGGTTCTGTTCAGTATGATAGGAGTTATGCATTTTTGTGTCTTTTTGTGTCTTTTGCTAACATGTAGTTAATGGAGTCTGCCTCTATCCCTGGATAATTGGATTACTTTCCCCATTGTCCAGGATAGAGGGCTCTGTAAATCCGGTTTGGGCCAGAAAACCATGCTGCCAGCTAGGCCCCAAAATATACTTTTGCTAACTTTTGAACCCCTTGTCTGATTTGTGCCAGTTTTTAATATGTTGCTCCCCTGAATGGATTGATTCTAAATATGTATTTTTATGAAGATTGGATGTGTAGTTTGGAAGTTATAGTACATGTATAAAAACTGTATTTTTACTGTTCTGTTTTAATTATGTTATGTGATTATCTGAGGGATGGGAATTTCCCCGAATGTATATTGTTCCGATTGGTTATACTGCTAATTATGTGGGTGTCTCCCTTGCATGGGCAGAATCTCATAAAAGCAGAGTGTGTGCCATTAAACATCAGATCTTCTTGACCCTCTAACTTGCAGCCTTGACTCGTTTTGGGGGACAGCTATAATCACTACAGGGATTGCTATGCTCTTCATACTCCCTTAGCTACTGAGCTCTTGTAAGAGCTCTTGTTCCTGATCCTGCTTCGCTCTGCAGAAGGAAGAGGTTCACCTACTGGAACCTGGAGCCTGGTCGCGGGTCCAGGGCACAGAGCAGACGGCGAGATACCAGCCCAGCAGCGGTGGTTCGTGGAGTCTGCAGTACTTATGGTGGCTACGCAGTAGTTATGGTGTCTACGGTGCTGATGGTCCTTTGGTGAGCGCTAGGAGCATCCTTTTCTACGGTCCAACTTCCAGCCAGCCTGGAGGCAACCAGTAACATTTGGTGGCAAGCGGTGGGATGGCGTCCTAGCGCAAGGAGCAGCACCCCAACAGCACTGGTATCGTATGAGAGAGTATTGAGGGCAACGCTAGCCACTGCGCAGCGTCCCTACCTAGAGCAGCATGGAGCCAGCAAGTCCGTGCACAGCAGCCGAAATGGAGGAGAGGTTCCTCGACAGATTGCATGGCTTCCTATCCTGGAAAGATGGGGCAGTCTCAGAAGAGGAGATGTGTGGGTACAGAAGTGAGGCCAGAGCCGAGCTGTGGGAAGAAGCCCTACAGGAAGTTCAGCGTTGGCGAGGTGATCGTAGAATCAGCAGAGGGCAGCAAATCCAGGCTCGAATGGCAGAGCGGATGCCCCTCCTGGGCAAACAACCCCTTCCAGTGTGGGTGACTAAACTAGAGGATCTAGTATACAGTGAACTGTGGCTCGACAACGCATACCAGGCGCTACAGTGGTACGCGACTCAGCTTGTTCCAGAGATAGCTGAGTATGAATTCCCTGAGTGTGGGGATTACAATGGCCCTGATCTATTCTGGGAGAATATGGACGATGATGACTTTGGAAGGGCTACAGACTCACGCTTCTGGGACCTGTATGATGACCGGGAAGACAAGCTGGGACTCCCTAGAGCTATTGGCCTGGAAGCAGACCTGCGGTATCTAGTCACCCAGGAATGTGACCTGGAGTGGAAGTACCAGCACATCATCCAGGGGTCCCGGGAAGAGACAACCCGTCCCCTTCCTCAACAGCATCCAGAGGTCTCCCTAGAGAGCACAGCAGCAGAGCCAGATCGAGAGTCCTTCAGCTGGAAGGATATCGTAGAGGTATACTGGGAGGAACCTCTGATGGCAGGTAGAGATGGGACCGAGGTCTCTCTACAGGCCCTACAGGGATGCTGGGCAGTCGGCCCAGATCCCCAACCCCTGGGTGAGTTACAGGGAGCGGAGAGCATCGACCTCCCTCCCCAGC